CCCTCAAATGCAGTGAACACTGAAAACTGAACTGGGCATCTTTCTTACTTCTCTTGGCCTCGGATATTTTCACTACTCTCATAAGCTTGAGTGTAGAATGGATTTCTCCCTTCAGGTTTTTTACCTTTGTTTTCACACCAAGAACTTCCATGGAGAGAATTAAACAGCCCACACAACCTCCATTTTTTGAGTCACGCGTTTGAAGTTTACCAGGCTTATTGTCTGCTTGCTGGAAGAGGTGATCGAATGACATAGCTCCTATTCTTGTCATGCATGCATTTGGCAGCTGGCTACGCTTGATCCACCGAAATCTTCATCTAAGTCACTTGTCTGATTCAGTATTACTGGGTTCCAATCCCGCCTCCCCAATTTCCTCGGTCAAATATTCCACAACGTTTGATGCCGATGTCTCACTTGGATGTCTGTGGACTATTTACATAAAGACTATGGCCAGAAAATTTAAACGACCAAGTTTACAAAGTGAATTTCAAAACGACTCACTTGTTAAGGATATCATAGGATAGGAAGAACTGAGGACACGCGATGCCGTTGCCTACTGCTTCTACTAACTCGTCTTAACAATGTGTTCTTCTCATTACGTGCTAGCGGTAATCTGTATCACCTGAATCCTGACTTCCACAGACTTTGACACACCTCTTCCCTCGAGGTGTCCAGTTTCTGACTAAACTTTCCATATACTGACAGATTCTCTCTGAAAACAAACTCGTAAATCTCCAGTGCGCCATTAATTACCCAATATCAATGGTAAGTTGACCTTTTTAATTCACGGAAATGACCCAACTGCTTCTTACTATTTACTGCGGATGTTGGAAATCTGTTTAACTGCACCGCGGCATTCTTTAATGCAAATGCTAATTTTAATGTACTCACGGCTAAAAAGGTTGTCTGGCGGCACTTCAAAGCCGAACCGACATGGAACTCTCCGCAGCGCTGGCCAGAATGGTTAAGGAATTTTATGAGAAGGGTAAATTAGTTGTGGTTGGATTGGACGTACCAATTCTCGTATAACTCAATTCTCCATTGACTACCGCACAATGTACTAGCAATATCCGTGTTTATAACATTTGGAATAATACGATTATCTGCGGAGTTTTGATAATTATTATGATGCTGCTTGGTGTTTCCGTTGTCCGACTTTTTTTGATATACTTCCCTTCTTTATAACAAATAGGGAGTATAAGATGCAAAACTTACATCTCTCTCAAGTAAACTAAACTGAACTGAACACCAACTGGATTTTCAAAAGATCAGATCAGTATAAAGCATCTGGCCTTCACCTGTTTGATATGTCTAGACGAGGACCTTATCAAAATCTATGGGAGCACTGTTACCTGGAGACTGACAGCACCGATAAGTTGCGTTTGTTGGCTGCCGAGATGAAGTGGTCTATGCGACATGAATGTGTACACTGTCAACACTTTATGCCTATGACCAGTTTACTTATTTTGCTTAGGTAGTTGATAATTTGTAAAATATATCCGTTGCACAACACGTATGCTTAATGGGCAGTTTGCTGGCACGTCGCCAAATGGCGACAGTCGTCCATCGATGTTACTTGCTGCTACTGACTGCCTCCCCCTCTGCCGCTGTTGGTTCCCCCTCAGTAATCTGGTTGGGGAAGTATAACCGAGAGTACTGCGCCTACTAACTTCTGGTTACGATTGGTATACCGTTTACGTCTGACATTGTACGCACATGTCTCAGTTCTTCTCCGTCACAGTACTGCTTAGCCACAGGAGTTTCCGATCCCCCCCCCCTTGCATGGTCACTGTCAGCTCTGGCCTACGTACTTCAACGGGTGACGTCTAACCAGACGCTCAGGGCTCATTAACTTCTTTATTCGGTCGATCAACGGCTCAGTCGGTTTACCGCACTCACGCAAATGGCTATCGGATAGTGCAGCCTGTCCATGGTTTTTACCGACCCACTCATCTGAGTGAAAATGCGGCTTCCAACTCCTTGCTAAGTAAGTTAATGAGTGGCATCCAGCCAGACTCCGTAAGCCCGCTTACTTCTGGGCACGCTCGGCCTTTACCCAACGACGGTCACCATATCCCTCCCACGCCGCCGTTCAGTCCATGACATAAAGGATCTCTGGAACAGTGCTCCTCATCCACGATTTCGCACATGCTCATCTGCTGCCTTGCCATTTCTCACAGCAACGTATCTCATTTGTAGCTTTAGTAAGCCCTATGCAGTCTGTGTTGCCAGTTTAGGATTTAAAAAAGCTCTACCAAATTATTCATAGTACATACATGGAAAGGCAGCTACATTACCCGACATAATACAGGACACATTAGTCGTTTTATGGGGGGGGGGGGTCGTAGTTAGAGCACACTTATTTACTTAGCGTTCAGACAGCCCATGTTACACCACAAAACATTCGAGAAATCGTTAACCTGATGATAATAACCCATTACTGTGCAATTGTTGGATTATGCTCAGCAGTGCATTAGAGCAGATATTAAGGGAAATAGACGCAAAATATGACTGGGAATCATAGGTTTATTTTAAAACTCAAGCAGCACTGCCTAGAGGAAAGTTATAAACTTGGCGTCGAACATATTTTGACTACTGGCTATCGGCTACTTTAAATACGGAGGCCTGCAATGTGCTTATCTGAAAACATATCTGTCTCTCTGTCTGCCTCGTAATTGTTTGTTAATTTTACGCCCACATAATCAATTCACATTCCTCCCGAGCAGATTTCCCCGCAGACATTTGTAAGTAACGTATGGCGGTTTAAACACTTTTTAGAAGTCTTGGTGTGGTGTTCGGCGAGTATCAGCCTGTCATGCTGGAAATTGTTCAGAGGTCCTACACGATGAAAGGAAACCCGTCGAATAATCAACTACCACAGATGTTTGTATCGACAGGGACAAACAGTCAACGACATAACCGTTAGGGGTTGCCTGTAGAGGATGCATTGGAAAGTTTAGTGGTCATGCAGATGGCGGCAGTAGTCGCGTGAGTCTGCAGCACGGTTTGCATGGACGTACTGAACGGCCTAAAATACAAAAGATATATGCGACACTTACCACAGTGTGGCTGGTGATGTTGGGTAACCCGCCATTCCCCTCCGTCGTTAAGTTCTTTGGGTGGGGGAGCCTCGCTGTCATCGTCTGATTCAAACGCCAGCAGCCGCTGATATCTACGTAACAAGATTCATTGCAGTTTCAAGCTTCCAGTTTATTTCGTAGAGTTAACAGGCAAGGCCGTTGAAAACCCTAATGATCACATGTCAGCTCATTAGATACAACTGTACATGAACAATGAAAACCGTTGCTATTAAAACGGTACTCGATTCATTTGAGTAGCATTGTTTCAAAGAAAAACATTCCCAGGGATCGCGGGATATTTGGCTCAGGTTCAGACTGTCGAGGGAAGGCAGGGGACACAAATAATCATCAAAGCGTTTCTCGAAGAGTTGCAGGGACGTCGCCTCCACGACTGATTGAGGGAGATAGTTCCATTTCTTCACTACGCTTTGTGTGAAAAATTCAGAGCGAAGATTCAGCCTGGACATTTTTGTGCTTAGCTTCATCGAGAGACCACGAAGACTGGGTGAAAGGTGCCACTGAACACGTTTTCAAGGCTAAGTTCATGCTCAAGGCCATGTATTATCTTTTAGACCAGGATAAAATCACCTCTTTGCTGCCTGTAACACAGAGGAAATAAATTAAGGCAATGCAGTCTTGCTATGTAGGATTGGCTTTTTAAACAGTTCAACAACTTTGTTGCACGACGTTGTACTCCTTTGAGGCATGTTTGGTCCTTTAGTAGTCATGGCCGCCACTCCCTTTTGATTGCATGGAGCACTCCCATGGCGCTTTTTGCAGCCTTGTTGCACTGCAATATAGGTTTCATGTTGCTCTTTACACAAACACCGAGATCCTTCTGCGAAGATTCTGTGGGAAGTGTAATGTTTTACAGGTGATATTTCCTCAGGCTCTCATTTTAGTGACAGTTGGTAGGACGCAGATGAGGGAGGGCACACTTCTGCACATTGAAAGCTAGAAGCCCTTTCTCAGACCACGCTTGCAGTCTGCGTAGGTTGTTTTGAAGGTCTCTTCCTTTAGCCTCTTCCCAAATCAGGACAGTTCTCCAGACTTCAGTCATTCACCGTGCCCTCTGTAGGAACGAGCTTGGCCGCAGAAGCTCCACTGGGTAGACTATTGTGTCCTGCAGTGGAGATATTTTGCTTTCTATAAGAAGACGAAGAAGAGGAAGAAGAAGAAGAAGAAGAAGAAGAAGAAGAAGACACGATCGCCGGGACAACAGCTTGATTAGCCTGACGTTTCGGATTCCTGCTCGAATCCATCATCAGAGACATAAGCAGATAAGGGTGGTTCATGCACATGCGGCTGCAGTATTTATAGGATGCAGTAGCCATGCTGCCGCATACCTATGAATATTCACGGCTCTCTCCCCTTCATCAGGGATCGTTGCACGTGGCGTGATGACCGGCATTCGCGTTGTTAATTGCTGCAATTTCATCACGTGCGTTGGATGTTGGTGTGATGATTTCTCGACCATCTGACGCGCTGACCCGGGTGTTGGGAAGAGTGTTCACCTGTGCGCTCCCCGCGTGGCTAATTACTCCTCCTAGGCGAAGTCCAAGCAGCCGAAGACAAGACTGCCGAACTACAATACCTCCGACGGGTCTTCAAAGCCAATGGCTACCCGCGCAACTTTGTCAACCGGTGCATACGCAAAAGGCACGAAAGGCCTAGCCGCACGGACACCAAAGTTTGGCGAGCGCTTCCATATCTCAAGAACATTTCGGAAACTGTTGGCCGCCTTCTCGCACCACTTGGGGTCGGAGTTGTACACAGACCGGATGCAACCATTAGGCGTCAGTTGACGAAACCAAATGACCCACTGCCACGGCAAGAAACGTCTGGAGTCGTTTATCGGATCTGGTGCAGGTGCGGACAAAGCAACTACTTCGGGAACCCGGAGGACAACTCCAAACGCGAATGGCCGAACACGCGGCAGCGGTGCGCAAAAATGACGCCAGCTCTCAGGTTGCGGCTCAGTCGACGGGTTTCGGCCACACATTCAAAATTGATGAGGCCGAAATTCTCGCAAGAGGTGACAACCGAGTGAGCCGAGAGCTGCTTGAGTCATGGTTTACTGGTCCCCAGTCTATTAACAAGTGCAATGATCTTCCCATTCAATACACCGTGTTGAGACTTCGTCTAGGCGGAGTAATTGACCACCCGGGGAGCGTACAGGTGAACACTCTTCCCAACACCCGGGTCAGCGCGTCAGATGGTCGAGAAATCATCACACCAACATCCAACGCACGTGATGAAATTGCAGCAATTAACAACACCAATGTCGGTCCTCACGCCATGTGCAACGATCCCTGATGAAGGGGAGGGAGCCGTGAATATTCATAGGTATGCGGCAGCATGTCTGCTGCATCCTATAAATACTGCGGCCGCATGTGCATCAACCACCTTATCCGCTTTTGTCTCTGATGATGAATTCGAGCAGGAATCCGAAACGTCAGGCTAATAAAGCTGTTGTCCCGGTGATCGTGTCTTCTTCTTCAAGACTGCTTTCTGGACTCGTCTCTTCGCTTCTATTGGCAATTTTGTTTTCAGATGAAAGTTATGCACTTTGCTTTGCACTTTCTGTTGTTTGACATAGACCTTGTCGTAGGAGGAAGTTGACCCGAGAGTTCCCAATGGTTGACAACACAAAGACTTCCAACTCAGAAGCCAGGGAAGACGGATTGGATGGGGCAAACTTTCGTGGCGAGAAAGAGAGCACAGGAGGCCCAGCAAGCAATTGTCGCAAATTGCCTCTTTAGGCATGTTGCTCGTCCATGCCAGCCGCTGGGGTCATTAACCTCAACGCATGTTCACGCCATTGCTGTGTCCCAGCTAGTGTTCGCCTGTAGCCAATCATCGAAGGAACAGCGTTGATTGATTCCGAGCTCTTATGAGGCCAGTGACGTGTCTCGCGCGGTCCCAGCAGTGGATTGACAGTGAGCATGCCAAAGTGGCGGCGAGCAAGAGAACGGACAACCACAACCTCCCCATGAAACCCCTAGAAAAGAGGGCTTTTCTGTAAACTGAATGACCAATTGCCTGCACGGCAACTATGACCCACTGGAAATTCAACCTCCCCATGAGACACCTAGAAAAGAGGGCTTTTATGTTAACTGAATGACCAGTTGCCTGCACGGTAACTAAGACCCACGGGAAGTTCAAAAGGGGCGTCTGATTCTTACATCCAAAGACTGCTGAAGTATGTTGAGGAGGGAGTGTCGATGAATAAAAGAGTAGTCTTTGAGTCGATCGGACAGTGTCATGAACTTAAGAAGCTACAAATTCACAAATTAAGTTGGGAAGCGGCCCAGTTAAGACGATATTTTATGTGGAATTTGACGGTCGGGTGATTTGAGGACAATAGAAAAGAAATCAGTTGCGTCAGTCGAGACACACTAATAGACCCGGTCCTGTAAACGAATATGGCGAAGTCTGGTACGTTGTTGATCGCAAGTGCTTGATTTGACAGACAATGCCTCCCCAAAGGAGGCGTCGTATCACGTCCCTGATATTGACAAAACGATTTGCATCAGTACCTTTTGTACTACTAGCCATTAATATTGTGGGACAGGCTGAGTGGACCCTGTGGCTTTCATTGTCGTATCTAATCACACTAAGCTGTGCTTCATTCGGTTGTGTAAGGAGGAAATTTTGGTCTGGATAACATTTGTACCACGAAGCCTTTTAGGATGGCACAGCAATGATCACTTCAGACGATATCTTCCAACCTTTATAAACATGTGTCGGAGGATTTTGGCAAGAAATAACCCAAAGCTCTTTGTCCACTTATTTCTTCTCGTTATCATCGCGAACGACACGTCCATTCATTTAAGGGCGATTTCCGGTAACCAATGCGCTTTCTTTTCTGACGGAATACTCATATAGGAGGCAGTGCTCTAAACGAAAGGGTGTCTGACTCACCCCTCAGAAAACGCAACTCAGGCTAAGAGAGTCTCAGTCGGCAGGATACTTACTGCCACAGAACAAAGTAGATTTTACCACGCGTGGTTTCACCGGTGACTGTGGAGGGGGCGTTATGCCACCCTTTCCTCGAGAGTGATGTTGATCTAAACCCTCGTCTATGCTTACGGCAAAAAGTTCTAGAATGAGGAATCAGTAACGAGCCATTGGCTTATCAGCTACCCTGACAAACGGAAGTCAGCAGCGGCGAAAACCTGTACGCGACTGTTGCCTTGCAGAATACTGCGCGCCGAGCAAAGTGGGGGCCTTGAAGAAGGAGATGGGCTCACCGGGCCAGGTTTATTTAGACGCTGACGTTTCACAGAGCTTGGTCGGCTCTCCATGACTAAAGCGTAAAATGCACTTAATCGACCAGAAATTGCAAGCGACATGTTCTGTTGGTCGGCCTCATGCTGATCGATTTTTGCCTCCTCTCGCTGCCTCGTTGACAGGCGCTTTGTCTGCGTGCTTTGTGAGTCACCGCTCCGGTGAGCCCATCTTCTTCAAATCATCCACCCAGATCTCTTAATTTAGACAATCTGAAAAGCAGGGGCTGCGCGCGACAAAGCTAGGGCAGGATTTCGACCCCCGATGACAACGCAGGGTGTAAGAATCCACTGGACTTGAAGACCATTTTAAGCACTATTATGCCACTATGCTCCTCAAAGGTATTAGTTAAATGCACCATAATTTCGGAGAATAATGTCACTTTTTGGTATTATTACAAATCACCTATCTGTAGAAAAAGAAGAATACCACAGTGAGACCACGTCCATCACCCATTGCCTATAGCCGACTTCAAACGAGTGTGATTTTCTGGAACCGTCTGCATCCAATATTGGACGCATGGTGGTCAGACGTGAGAATTTCTTCGAACACGACGAAACTTGCCGGCTTAGGGGAAAGCAATCTTAAGCAGTGCAATTTTTCCTTGCATATAAACAGAATCATTATGGTTTTTTAAGAAGCATATCGCACATCGAACAGATACACGTCACAGAATGTCCTTTTTGTGCACAGATTTGACACGAGTCAGTCCGTAAACCGTATTTGGAAATGGCGTCCTCAGTCCTGGCCGTTTAGCTCCTGCACTTGAGTTTTCCGAGCGCTTCTCTTTGTAGAGATGAGGATGAAGTTAAGCAAGAAGAGGAGTGAATTTCTCTGCGAATGTTCCGTTGCTTCCGTAAATTTCTCAAAGCTTGGAGCATTGGCGAGGAGGCGTTTTATTGATGCATCATCTGGTTAAACTAAATGATTCCCTTTGACCCAACTGTGAAAAGCTCGGCGCCTCGGTGGAATTCATACGCACGAGAGTAAGGGGGGGGGGGCGTTAGCCCAACCAACGCTTTAGCCATCGGAGCTACGAGGCCCCACCGGACGACACGAGTCTAATCACATCTGGGTCAATTTTACCCAGATGGTTAGAGCGTTTGCTGTAGCCTTGCTGTCATGGGTCCGAATCCCACCGAGGCACCGAGTTTTTAACAGTTGGATCAAAGTGAATTATTTGAAATCTATCAAAACACGTCTGAATTAAACTAAATAGTTAAAATTACTGCACGTGGTACGGCCTGACGCCGAGCATGACCATTGTGCGTGTCCTAACACAATTTTTTCTTTCTCGAATGTTCAGTTAGGCTGATCACTAGTATCAACGTGTTTTACGAGCCTGACTGCAGGGTGCGGCAGGGTGATTTGTGAGTTTTGACGAAAGCATGTCTGGATGGTGGCTTGATGTGGGGTGACCTTCTTCAGAGCAGACGCCTACGTACTACCCTAGCCGCCTGCGACTCGCACATGCTGGAAGACAAATTAGCGTTAAAGTTCAGAGACTTGTCGGCAGATTTGAAGCTCAAGGTCATCTTAGGAACGCAGTTAGGTAGTAAGGCGTTTTTCACGATCATCGTAGTGTCACGTCTACGACGCAAAATTTGGGTCAGATAAAAGAACTCAAGAGAGTAAGACCGTTGATCTTTCTAGATGGTTCCTCGGAAATAAAGCGTGTTTCGCTCGCGGGCTAGGCCGCTTCGTGATTTAAAGAGTAAAAGTACATGAAGTGGAATGATTCCTGGTCAAACTGCTTGGGGCTACATCTTTCTAAGCACTACACGGTGTTTCAGAATCGCCGTTATATATTTGTCACTGATTAGAGGAATTTCGACACAGGAAACTTGATGGTAACAAATTCAGAAATGTTCCAAATGTAGAGGACTGGCAATTCGTAAAGCATCCAGTCTGATTGAAAAGATGCTTTCTACGTTGAAACATATCTACATCAGCACCTTCACAAAGTTAATGTGTTGTACGAATGTCGTTGAAGGATCCTCGCCGCGGTGTGTATTGCCGTGATATGTCGGCGATCCATCAACCACAATGTAACAGTCAATGAACATGTTTGGGAGTGTCTCATTCATAGATTCATGAAGTATTCAAACACAAGGTGCTACAAATCACGGTTACAGTTCTTTCACTGAACTATGAGAATTGCTACGGTATTCGTGGGCGGGGGTTGGAGGTCTACCGAGGAAACGGCACGAATTGACTGCGTATTTAACAGGCAACGGTGAACTGTCACTAGTGTGTAGCGCCGTACATTGTGGGCTCTCTGGATAAGCTTTGAGAAAAACTTTCGGTGTCGGCTGTTTATTGTAAGGACTTTTGAAGCCTCCTTAATCCTGTCCAAGTGACTGTGTTTGAATAAACGAACTAACCCGGTATGCTTCATTCCGGGGAATTCACTGTGAAATGCTTTCCGAACAACATTTCCCCACAACGAGCGCCTTTCTTATCAGTCCTTTTGAGGGTCACGTCGTAGCGCATACCTATCATTATCCTCCCCAAATAATTAGTTAGGTATTTTGAGGAAATAATTCTCGCGACCATTCACCGCCTTCACTTAGAATTCCCAGCCCACAACAAAAGGTGATGACAGAACCCTAAATTGCAGATTTCATATTGACCACGTTAACATGGCTGCTATAATTTGTACTTCTCTGGATACAAATAACAGCGGACTGAGGTTTCAAAACCGACTTACATACTAATTAAGCAAGTGCAAAATAACAACCTGCACTGGTAAGCTAGTCATTACTTTTGAACTGTCAAGATATCGCGCCGTAAGGTAATGCTTTGAACGGGGCAGAATATAAAAGGGGAATCGATCCAGAAAGAAGAAATTCAATTAATTTTTTTGTACACCACGGTTATTAAAGACAATGTAGGCATTAGGATACGTCTAACCGCCTGGAATTGCCTCCGGCTATAACTGTTTTCTGTTGGTCTACCTTGTAATTTAAACAAAACCGATTGGCGTGAGGCCATAATTAATTGAGATTTTGGAATCTCTAGACATA